GAGTGTGTTTTTAGAGTCTTTTAGTCCATTATAGAGTCTTTACAAGTTTTAGGTTGCTTTGGAATAAAATGAGCCGTTTTGAGATGCAAACACACATTTGGAGATGCAAATTCGTGTAAACGTGTCAGATGTTTCAGATCATATGGACAACGTTCTACCTTTAGATCTTGGTCAGATCTAGAAATGAAAATGGAGTCTGAGACATGACCGGAGTCTTCAAATCTTTCCAAGTCACCACTTGCTCGTCAAATAAATACTTGGCTAAGGCGTGCTTAGTGAGAGTTACTCGATCAAGCTCAGACTTGGGATGCCACTTAACAACGGTAGTACGAAAAACCTTGTTGATCATCTATGGAGAAAACTCGTACATCTTCTTCCACACATAAACCGGAGACTTACGAGTAACATAGTTATAGATGTGGAAATTGGAGTCGAATTCAAAAATGACCTCTGGAACATACAGCTCTACTTCCAGTGTTCATCAAATGATTGTCCTCAATAACTTGCATCATCTTAGCATTAGAATTAGTACCACGAATAACATACCGTTGATCATAGAGCTCCTGTCATTGCAACTCCTTGTAGCGAGTAACTCCTTGACAGGTAAGGAACCAAAACTCAATTGGTTCATAAGGAGGTTGCCAAATCGATGGATCTGCTTCATCCTTCTTCGATTGGTAATAGCGATGGATGCTAGTACGATCAGAAGCATCATAGAATGGTTTCCCTCGAGAGGCGAGGTAATTCTTGAGAAGATCAAGATGATGCACGGGTTTTCTTCGACGACAGAGAAACCAGAAGCACCTCTTCAATCGAGCTATCGGAGTTGCGAAGTGTCATTCTCTCAGAAAGTGAGTGTTTCAATGAAGCTTGGGTTCGCGACATAGCTAAGGTTGACAGGGAATTGGGATCGTCACTTTTGTTTTAGAGAAACAAATGAAATCTCGCGTGAAGTTATCCAAAAGAAAATTTTCATGAAACACTAGTACCCTAAAGACCAAAAATTAGTGCATCAAACCGGATAACTTGATTTTCTCAATTTAATCAGATTTCTGAAGAAAAAAAAATATAACACCTGAAATGCAGGAACACACCAAAAGTTGCAGAAACCCAGTTGGAAAAAATACAGGACATTAAGACATTGAATTTCTTAATGCTAACAGGAACACAGAACCAACATTCTGCATCCCATCAGTATGTTCATATGTTTCAAGAACTTGGTGCAGACGATCTCTACTGGGCATATTGTTGCTGAATTCCTACAGTTATTTGCTTTTGAATGATTTCAATGTTGTTTCCTATGTGTTCTCAAGTTCTTTGCTTTTGAATGTTGTTTCTTCTTTCTGAACTTCTTTTTGAACTTCTTTGTAATCCCAAACAAATATCTTTTCTTTTGAATCATGTTGTTTCCTCTTTTCTTCATTTTAGCAATTTTAACAGCCATATAACTCAGCCGTAATGTTATCGATAACTCAGACATAACTTAGAATAAGTCAGCCACACCCTAAATATGCGTTATGTCAATTTCTAGTTATAATCAAGTTATGGAATCACGTAAATACTAGGTTATTGATAACTCAGTCGTAATGTTATCGATAACTCAGCCATAACGTATCATAAGTCAGCCATACCCTAAATATGCGTTAAATCAATTTCTAGTTATAATCAAGTTATGGAATCACGTAAATACTAGGTTATTGATAACTCAGCCATAACGTAGTATAAGTCATCCATACCCTAAATATGCGTTAAATCAATTTCTAGTTATAATCAAGTCATGGAATCACATAAATACTAGGTTTAAATATGATACAATCATGTTACCATATTATTCATCAATAATTTAGACTTTGTTGGTAACATTTCAAAAACTCTCACACAAAAACTAGTTTCTAGTCATAACCAACACTACATAATTTGAATTGGATGAAATTGTGTAAATTTTCCATTTTCAAAATTAACAATCTTAACATGCATATTTGCTGCTAATATATATTTATTATATGCCATATCCATTATATAGTTATATAATTGCTAATTATATATTATAATTATACTTATAACTCAGCCGTAACTTGAACACATTAACTCAGCCATAATATAATCATAACTCAGCGATAACCCATTTCTCAGTTAACATGAAAAAGAACTCTTAAAATTGCTGGTCTAAACATCATGAAACATGAATGAATCAACAATTATATTCTCTCCCATATCCATACAGTTGCGATTCCTATTACAAAAAGTAGAGAAATTGTCTTCAAAGATGTCTTACCCATATCATCCTCAATCTTCTTCATCAATTTTTCCTCAAGTTTCTTACTTAGTTCTTCCTCGAGCTTGTCAAACATTTCTTTTTGGAGATCTAAATTTTGAGTATGTTGATGCCTTAAGTCCGTCACATCTTCTTCTATTCTCTTTACCTTTGCGTCGACCATCTTAATTTCTTCAACCGCTGCCTAATCAACCCATTTGAAGAAATGCGACTCATTCGGCCTCTAATTAACAAAAAACCAACATCGATATCCATATGTTAACAATAAATAATTAAAAACTAATTATTACCTTCAAAGCAATCGAGCATCTATAGAAGATACGGTACGAGTTTTCCTTTGTCTTCGATACGTATGTGATGATATCGTTACCACACCAACATCCGTAATTCGTCGGAAGATCTGGAGGTTAAGCACCATGTGCTGAACGATATGAACTCGAAGAGTAGTCACTAATTATTAAAAATTGAGAACTGGAACCCAAAAATCGAAGATAAACCCAGAGAGAGGAGGCAATCCTAGAAATCGATAAGAACCCTAAATCCCCAATCTGATTTCTCGATTATGTCTATAAGGGAGAAGAAAGAAGGAAACGACGACGTGCGAAATTAAATTGTCCAAACCACGAATTTAATTTACGATAACTCAGCCAAACCTCAAAATCTGTCTGTTGCTTAACTCGGCCAAACCTCGAATTTGAATATCAAAAACATAACTCAGCCGTAACATATCTATAACTCAGCCGTAACGTTATGTCATAACTCAGCTGTAACATATCTATAACTCAGCCAAACCTCGAATTTGAAATATAAGATTTTTTATACATTCATGTTATTAGAACACTTAGATAAGACAAATTTAAGGTTTTTAGTCACTATAAAAATGAATATAATTAAATTAGCTCTTGTTTATACCTTTTAAGACTTATGTATCCAACAAAGAGATAACTCCTAGTAATGCTTCTCCATTCTATCTTGTAATACCCTAATGTAATACAATTCTATCTTTTATATTAGTCTGAATTTTATCTTTTACATTAAAGATACTTTTTATATATTCTAATACCATAATGTTAAGTTTATTGTTGACTTTAAAATGCTTGATTATTATTGAGGTTAATTTGTCTTTCGGATCTCAGCCATAACAAGACCATAACTTAGCCATAACAAGACCATATCTCAGCCACAACTCAGCCATAACTAAAATATAACTCAGCCATTACTATAATGTTAAGTTTATTAATGAATTTAAAATGCTTGATTATTGTTCAGTTCAACCGTCATTCGGATCTCAGCCATAACAAAACCATAACTTAGCCATAAACATAACTATAACTCAGTCATTACAAATCCACAAATGAGCCATGATGTTCGAGATTCCAATAATTTACATATTATCAGAATAAGTCTACAAAAACGTAATATTAATTAAACTGGTTGTAATAATCCGCTGCCTCATCGAAAATGTCTGCAGCCATCTTCAGCCGTATACCATGCATATTTGCACCACATAGGCCATCGAAACCAACACCAAGTGCTAGGCATTCCACATATTTGAGAGAGTACACGCCACAGTCCCCGGGGTTTAGGTTTTGAGGGACCTTGGATTTACTCATCCTTTCGAAGGAAAACATCGCCTTACTATGTGGACGGACTTCAGCAGGGACTAATGCGTTCAACATTGCTGGAATCATCTGCGCAAACGGCTTAACATGTTTCATGATTTTAGCTTCACTTTCAGGTGTTACCTGTCCCACAATGCTATCATAGACATTGATATGGCGCCTAATCAGGTCAGCTTCTAGCGTAATCCAGTGATCACCTCCGGTTTGTATAACAAGATACAGTTTATCTACATCTTCTATCCACTTCAGACCAGTGGGCTGATCTTCCGGCATTTTCCCGTTAATAACCCGGTCATAGGGTCCACCATCGAATTTAAACCTTTGTGGTCTATCCTTGAATGTTGTATTATACTCAAGTAGGAGTAAAGCAGTAAACCACAGGTCTAAAAACGCAATACGTTTCGTATGGAATGGGCAGGGGTCTTCAAGGAACCGTTTCCTGAGAAGTCTCACATACGCACCCACATGCTGTAAAAAAACCATAAGTTATGATTAATATAACTCGACCATAAGTCAGCCAGAACTAAAATATAACTCAGCCATAACTAAAATATAACTCAGCCATAACTCAGCCATAACTCAGTCATAACTCAGTCATAACTCAGCCATAACGTAGCCATAACTAGCCATAACTCAGTCATCACTAAAATATAACTCAGCCATAACGTAGCCATAACTCAGCCATCAAGCTGAATGATAACTCAGTCACAACAAAAAAGTGTAAAAATTACATCGTCCCACAACCAGCCATACTTATCGTCCGTAGCTGGCCAATCCTTTCTTTCAGTGATAAGTCTCTTGTAGAATTCAATTTCAGGGACTGCCTTGCCATATGGGGTAGCCCTAACAAACAACACACTTTAATATACATATTAAGGGGGGGGGGAAAGAAGCAGTAATCAACAGGTCAATAGGTACGAAGAACTTACTTGTGTGGACTTAAGTGTTCCAATAATCTCTCCAATCTGGCCGGATCAACAAGGGCGAAAGGATCATATATTGCAACAGAGGGTACACAGTTCTTCCTCATACATGTCAGCCCGTTCTCTCCAATAATAAGAAAAACATGAGGATTTGGCTGTGGCTCCATTGCACTCCCATCTTTAGCAAACTTCACATTTGCTGTCCTTAATTAATCCTTTAATCCTTTCATTCCTAATCTTTTCTTTTTCATCAACATCAGATTCAAGTAAGACGTTGAAGTTCTCGAAAGGATTATTGTCAGTGACATCCTCTACTTCACTGTCACAAGCTTTGTTGTCCCCTTTGTTGTCCCCTTTGTTGTCCTCAACCCCAACCTGTTTCTTTTCTTCCTTTGGGAATTTGAATTTCACAAGAGGAATCTTAACAACATCTTCAGCAATTTCTTCCACCATATCAGAAGGGACACTTGGTTTCACCTGCTGAACACCTCTAGGCTTTCTACCTCTCTTCTTTGGCTGGCCTTTTTCCTCATTCCCTTTCCTCCTTGCTTCAGCTTCTGCCCTCTTCTTTTCCTGTACTTCTTTTTTCTTTTGGGCATCTGCTTCTCTTCTCTTAAGTGCATCTTCTTTCTTTTTCAGTGCCTCCTCTTTCTTCTTTTGAGCCTCGGCCTCTTTCCTCTGCTGTGCTTCTAAATTCCGCGTCAAATGCCGCATTTTCTTATTAGCAGGAGAGGGAGATTTCTCAATGAAATCAAGAAGACCATCATTCTTATTAGTGGCCTCATCGAAATCCTTATTTAGATTCTTGATGCACCGAGGAATGTCGCTGTCCAGAACTTGTTCTTCTTCCTCTTCCTGAATTTTCTTCTCGTGGAACTTCATAACATAAAAAAACTCAGCCAAAACAGAGGTATAACTCAGCCATAACAAAAAACAACTCAGCCAAAACAGAGGTATAACTCAGCCATAACATAAAACAACTCAGCCAAAACAGAGGTATAACTCAGCCATAACACAAAACAACTCAGCCATAACATAAAACAACTCAGCCAAAATAGAGGTATAACTCAACCATAACATAAAACAACTCAGCTAAAACAGAGGTATAACTCAGTCATAACACAAAACAACTCAGCCATAACATAACTCATAACTCAGCCATAACATAAAACAACTCAGCCGTAATGTATTTGATAACTCAGCCATAACATAAACAACTAAGTAGAAACATCGAATAACTCAGCCATTACATATCATTAAGAGAACTCAGCTTACCGGGGGACTAGTAACAGAGTAGTCTTGGCTTGACTGTTTCTTGAGAATTTCAGGTGTCTGTTCTTTTTTTTCTCAAAAGCATCCATGATTCTGATATTGGAGATGCTCTTGATATTGGAGACGTTCTTGAGTGGTAATGTGTCGTCATGAAGAATGTTTTTGCCTCCACTCATGAGACCAGCTAGGCCTCCACCTCTGGCAACGAAGGAAAATAGGCCTTTCATCTTGATGAATTCTTCATCAACATGTTTGAACTTATCATAAAAGGTCTCAACCTTTGATTTCATGGTCTAAAAACTTGATTTCATTTTAGAAACCATACCCACGAGTAATTTAAGTGACGCCTTTCCACCAGCATCGTCCTCTTCACTATCAGCCTGCAAAACATACACAAAAATTGATAATCAAAACAAGAATATCCTAGCCAATATATATGACTATATAACATATAACTTACCTTTACCTTCTCACTCTTCTTCTTTTTATTCTTCTGTTCATGAGGCTCGTTTATCTTCTTCTTCTTCTTCTTCTGTGCATCTTTTGCACCAGAATCACCACCCTTTTCCTCTTTCTGCTTCTTAGCGGGAGATTCAGACTCAACCGCTGCTCTAACTTTTCCAGCTTTCTGCTTGTCCTCATTCACTTTCACATCCCAAATACATTTAACAAGCGCATCCTCATGTATGTCATTGACCAAGTTCTTAATTTATGGGTCTTCTTCTGTTTGATTTGGCCACGTATGAAAAAGCTCACTTACATCACCCTTCATCACCATTTTACTCACACGCTACATTAGAAGACAAACATCAATAAGTATAACTCATAAAGACAAAACAAATACATAACTCAGCCATTACTAAACTATAACTCAGCCATAACTAATATTTAACTCAGCCATACATAAAAATAACTCAGCCATAACTAAATATAACTCAGCCATAACTCAATTATAGTCAGCCGTAAGTAAATTATAACTCAGCCATTACTTAGATATAACTCAGCTGTAACAAAATTATAACTCAGCCATAACTAAACCGTAACTCAGTCATAACATAAAACAGAGATCACTAAAATATAAGTCAGCCATTTAAAACATATAATCTTACCTCACTATACTTTTTGATATCTTTAGCAATGGCCTCATCTAATGCTGAACGTGTACGGGTTCCAGGCCATCGAAACAACGGGATCTCTTCATTCTCGACAAAATTCCTGAATCGCTCTCCTAAGCATTTGATAGAATCATATGCCCAAGCTTGTAACACGTAAACCGGCCCACCAAGGGTGTACGAACTACCTCTAGGATTCAAGCACTTGACATTATCAACTATAGTCTCAAATGCGACCCGACCCCATGGATAAGCTTTCACGGCTTTATCATCAGAAACTATTTTTGCAGCTTCAAATGGTATATGTGAGTTATGATGCACACAGTAAAGTCAAATGGCTAGAAAAATCAATAGCCCCAACCATTTGCGCTTCTCAACAGACCACGACCGGCACACTAATAATCCTTTAAGTAGCTCATCATATGTTGGACCTTCCCCACCAGGAACTTTCAATTCTTCTGTTAAGAACTGTTTGTAGTCAACTGAAGGTTCAAACTTCTCTGATGGAGTTGGATCTATGTTTAACCCAGTGAGGTGAGCGAATTCATTAAAACCAAACCTTATAGGCTGGCCACCAACTAAACACCAAATCTCCTTGTGTTTTATTCTCAACTGTCTATACAATAGATAGTGTACGGTCTTAGCAGACCAAACGAATTTGCTTTCAACTAATTTAGCAACTATTCCAAGAGGTAATTGCTTGATATCATCCCACGCATCTTGTCCAATTGATTCCATAACCCCTGGGAAATCTGCCATCCTAAAATAGGTACACATGCTTTTATTCTTGAGGCTAGACATCCCTTCTTCGTAAAGTCTCGGTGGGTAACGCTTTGCTTGTTATGCAGCCATCTGAAATAAGTATAAACATATCATAACTCAGCCGCAACATACAACAAACTCAGCCGCAACTAAACTATAACTCAGCCATAATGTACACAATAACTAAGCCACAACATAAGCACTCTAACTCAGCCACAACATAAACTATAACTCAGCCATCACATAAACTATAACTCAGCCACAACATAAAACAAGTTAATAACTGAGCCATAACAAATATTATAACTCAGCCGCATCAATATCAAACTAAGACAACTCAGCCATAACATGATAAGTAACTCAGTCGTCGAAACGATAGATCTGACAAATCAGCCGTCAAGAATAATGTAACTAAGCCGTCAAATAACTAGAGCAAACGACGGCGACAATCAGCCGTAATAAGCAAAAACAAACACGATTATAGTCGGAAAAACTCGAAATACAGTTCGACACTTACCGGAATACGAAAGGTCTCCAATGTAGCAACGAAAACGAGGACTCACTCACGGCGACTCACAACGACTGCTTCTCTTCACAGCGACTCAAGGCGAGTTTTTAGAGCGAAAGAGAGAGAGCGTAATATTCGACGGCGGCGAGTACTGTGTTCGTCGGCGGCGAGTTTCTTCTCTTTCGAACGCGTGAGATAAATTTTTTTTTTTTTTTGTTTTCCAATTCTAAACAGTGACGAAAGAAACTGTTCACTTTCTTTTTTGATAATTAATGAGAGAATAATTTTCGATGATGATGTGGCAATTTCGGGTATGACGTGGCATGTCGGATATGACGTGGCAATTTTTAAGTGAAAACAGACCAATGGTGTTTATTGTAATTACACCCATCTCACTAAACATCTAGGGAATAAAAAATAAATTTGGCTGTTTAGGGAATAAACCTACTTTTATGGTCTATCTAAGTAATTTTCCCAAAAATAATGTACAACCTCCCCCTGTTTCAGCACACACACTCAATCCGTAGAAGTTGAATAAACCAACTCCCGAGGGCTATGTATTCTGATTCAGTGGATGACAGCGAGACATAATTATGCTTCTTACTATGCCATGAGAAAAGATTGTTCCAGGAGAGAAACCACTGCCTGTTGTACTTTTCTTGTCAATAAGAGAACCTCCCCAACCTGCATCACAATAACCAACTAAGCTCAAGTGTGGGTCCTTCGTGTATCATAGTTGACGGTCCCTTTTACATACTTGATATTCTGTTTTACTGCCATAAGATGTGATTTCTTTGTATCTGCTTGATAACGAGCACATAGTCCCACACTAAAACACAAGTCCGGACGACTAGCAGTTTAGTACAGTAAGCTACCAATCATTCCACGATATTGTGTTGCATCAACACCTTTTCCAGTTTCATCTCTGGAGAGAGTCTTCGTCGTGCTCATAGGGATTTTAGCAGCCTTGCTGGAACACAGTCTGAACCGTTTTACCAGATTCATGGCATAAGTGCTCTGAGATACAGTGATTCCCGAATCCGATTGGTTAACCTGTAGTCCAAAGAAGTACTTGAGTTCGCCTACCATACTCATCTTAATCTCAGACGTCACTGCCTCAACAAACTCTTGAACCAATTTTTCAGAAGTGCCTACAAATACAATGTCATCCACATAGATTTGAATGATGTGAAGTCATTTTGCATCGTTTAACTCTTAAACCAAAATTTTAGAAGTGCCTCCATATACAATATCATCCACATAGATTTGAATGATGTGCAGTCATTTTGCATTGTTTTTGACAAATAACGTCTAGTCAACACTTCAACGCACGTAATTCTACCTGATCAAAAATGAAGTAAGCCGCTCATACCATGCACGTGGTGCTAGCTTCAATTCGTACAATGCCTTGTTTAGTTTCTAAACATGATTGGGAAATTCCAAACTCTTAAATCCTTTTGGTTGTTCAACATATACTTCCTCTTGAATAACACCATTTAGAAATGCACTTTTGACATCCATCTGATGCAGTTTGAACTTTATGTAACACACAGCTGCTAGTAAGAAACGAATGCATTCTAACCTTGCCACTGGGGCAAATGCCTCATCAAATCTGATCGGCTCAAATTTGCCCTGGGCTACTCTCTCAATTAAGAGATCACTGTAGTACTTAGGGATCGAATCCATAGAGACACAAAGATTACACAATAAATATTCGGTACTAAATTAAGCTAAGCAAGCAAGGTTTTAATATTAAAAACAGCAAAGTAAAATAAAGATTGGTTTTTAAAACAATATGAGAAAACGCTAGGCTCGGGGATTCTCAAGAAATACAGAATTGCAAATAAATAATTAGGATTTATAAAGCACCGTTCTTGAACTCAAATCACAAAATTATAATCAATGAACTTTCATTGCGAAGACTATCTATGTCTAGAATCTTAAATTCCAAATCTCTTTGCAAATTTATAAGTTTAAGACATGCATTTAATTCAGGTTTGATAAGTTCACAAAATCCCTAAACCAAATCTCTTTGCGAATAGGTCCTCATCTAGATTATTTTCAGGAAATCAATAACACTGATGTGTCTACCAATTAACCTAAGATCAGATTCTAGGTTGCTTTCACTATTCTAGAACAAATTAACCACAATCTAGATGAAGAACTCTATTGATTCAATCCTAACAATCTAACAACCTAACAATTCATGAATTCCTTTGAAAACCCTAAACCTAACAAGAAATCTACTCAGACATGGTGAATGAAACAAACATCACGAATAAAATCGATTGCTTAAAAGAAAGTATTAGAAGAAGTAAAGGAGTTCTAAATCTTCTCTGAAGGAGTTCCAAATAGCTCCTAATCCTGAAATGACTCAAAAGACTCGAAACCACTATAAAAGCTCTATAAATAAGACTTATATCATGGCCAAAAACCCGTAAAAACCATGATATATCAGAGTCGACACCTTCAACTTTAGTGTAGCCTTGAGCTACAGGCCGAGCTTTGTTTCTAGTAACATTGCCCTCTTCATCACTCTTATTTTAAAGATCCATTTTGTTCCGATGACATTTATTCCTAGAGGACGTGGAACAAGATTCCACACATCATTTCTGATGAACTCTTCTAGCTCCTCATGACAAGCAAGAGTCCAAAAATAATCAGCAAGAGCTTCCTTCACGTTCTTTGGTTCAACCATCAAGACAAAGCACGAGAACATGACAACATAAATGGATGCAGATGAGGCCATCTTCTTATAATCTTGTTTAATGCCTCTTGTTTTCCGTCTAACTCCCCTATCACATCACCAGCGTAATGATTTTTGTGAACTTGCAATGGTTGGTTATCTTTTTCTAACTCATCGTTTTCTGTATCAATATCATTAAGCTGCTCTTGAGTGCCTTCAGGAATTACTTCTTGAATCTTATTCTCTTTCGGACCTTGAGTAACTATTTTTGTGAAGACATGAACTATGGGAATACTCCCATTATCAAAGACCACATTCATGGATTATTCAATTCTTAACCTCTTTTTATTCCAAACCCGGTACGCAGTACTGTTCGGAAAATACATTCTTCACTCTGAGACTCAAATTTTCCTAGTTGGTATGTGTCATTCAAGATGTAGCCAGCACATCCAAAAATGATCAGGACAAAGACATATCTTTTCCAGCAATACTTTCAACCTGCATTGGACCCATTAAGTCCATGTGAATAAGATCCAACACATTGGATGTTTGTATTCCTTCTACTCGCTTGTGTTGTACCAAGGGGCGGACCCACATTGTCGATAGTGGTGGTACTTGCCCCCAGTAACATATAAAAATGAGAACAATTATTATTAACCAATGTTGTTTAAGTGGCAAAATGGTTAAGTAAGTATTCAATAAAAGGTAGAAGTGCCATGTTTGATTCCACCTTGCTACATTTTGCCCCCATTAAAATATATTCTTGGGTCCGCTCGTGGTTGCACCTTTATTTGCTTCCCCTCATTACACGCAGCACACACAATTTTGTCCACATGCTTTAAGTCAGGTACTTCTCTTACCATGTCATTGCTCACAAGTCTTGATAGGCTTCTAGCATTCATGTGTCCCAAACGTTGGTGCCTTAACACTAGATCGTCTTTCTCCGCTCTAAAATAGTTCTTACCTTCTTCAAAGCTTAGTGCGGTTTTCCTTATCATTTGCTCAACATCTCACTTTGTTAAAATTCACAATTAGACCTTCGTCACATAATTGGCTAACACTGATCAGATTTGCAGTCAAGTCTTCAACAAAGTACACATTGGTGATTTGAGGTTTCTGAACTTCAGTTAGATCACCTTTTCCCTTGATTTTTCCTTTCGCTCCTCCACCGAAAGTTACCTTGCTTTCTCTAACTGCTCTATAGTTACTGAGATTTTACTGATTTCCAATCATGTGTCTTGAAGCACCACTGTCGAAGTACCATGGTTTAGAAGACATAGTTTCTGACGAAGTATAAGCAACATGATAGTACAAGTCTGATCTTGTAAGATACACTTATGCTTCTCTTAACCTATGTGGGTAGAACTTCCTTTGTTGCAGCAACTTCTTAACCTTAGACATGTATCTATAGCAGTACCTCTTGATGTGACCTTGACGTCCACTGTAGTAGCACCCAAAACCACTAATTGTTTTCTAGCGATGATTATGCAATTTTGCTGTTGCAAGTTTTGTTAGAACAGCTCTTGGTCTGTTTTCTGATTTAGTCTGAACAGAATTTGTTACGACATTCTTGCTCTTCACAAAGTTAGTTTATCCAGTTGACTCACTTCCTTGATAGCCAAGTTTGAAATTAGATTTTCCAACTCTTCCAATAGCAAGAATACTATCAAGATCCTTAGTCCCACTATTCATCATGTAGATCTTCCTTTTTGTTTCATTCAACTCTTGTGTAAGACTTTTGTTCTTCTCATTTTCAGCAGCAAGTTCATGAGACACTCTTGAGTTCTTTTCCTTTTCATCAAT